CTTTAATCATTCTTATGGGCTTTGGTTTTTGTGTCTGTGTTTGTAAAGAAAACAATTTTCACACTTTTTTAAGTATGTTTTGCTAAGGAAAATATATTGATCTGTTCCCTTCCCCTGGTCCATGTGTTCCCTTTGTTGCTTCCCACTAGTGACCCCTTGAGTTCTGTGACAAGACTAGCATGTCCTTAATCAAGATTGAAGAAGATCGGAAGAGATTAATTCAAGGAGATGAAATTTGTAGACAATGTATTGGAAAGTATTGAGAAAGTTATTCATTAGGGGAAGGTCTGGGATTGAATTGTTAAGTGCACAGAAATCTAACCTGTGAACCACCAAGACAATTATTAACTCCAGGAAAAAAAGGAGGGAAGAAAAAAGTAAGCCTAGCAGCCAACTTGCTACAGCTGTGAACAGTCTGTACAGAGAGCTAATAATGTAAAGCAAGGCTACTGAGCTGATCAAAGTTATAATGTAATTGTATCAAAAGGTTGGAAGAATGAAGTTTTGGGTGTATAGATGAGATGGGGTTTGAAAGAGAGCTTAATCCTCATTTTCCATTATATAAAGTTAAATAGGTGGTACATAAAGCTGAAAAAGTCAGTAGGCTGCATTACAAGGATATTAGTCAGAGATATTGAGTAATTATTCCAGGAGTCAGCAGTAGGAGCTGAACATGATTGCTTCTGGCCAGAAAATGGGGCGGTTGTTGGGAACTACTCCTTTTTAGAATCCGTGTTCGAGAACTGTTTTAGTCTTTAATGAATGTATGGTATAACTTTGATAAAAAGAAATCAAAGATGAATTTTGAAAATTTGATATTCTGAATTGGGGTGTTTTTGACAGAGAGGGATAACAATCAGACAAAATACATTTGAAGGGATCATCATTATTCCTAGCCTTTCAGCAAGGGCTAGGGTGCAGACATCTGTTTAAGGTTCAAAAATTCTGTCTGACCTTCTTACCGACATGTAACCTTTGTAAATAATGAACTCCCCATCACTGTTAAAATCCATGCAGAGGCTGCCTGACCAGCTCTCTAACTGTAGCAGGGTGTGTTTACCATTTGGCAGTTGGAGCAGGCAGCTTCTAACATTCTTTCAGTTTTGAATGTGGCATTTTCAGGACGGAAAGTTGATAAGAATGTATTACAAAGAGCTTAACAAGAAAGAGTCCAAGACATCTCAAACCCATTGCCAGGGTTTTCTCTGCCAGAAACCATCCTGAGCCTGCCATCTGTGAGCCAGGCCACAAACCCCAGTCACATGAGAATGAACACACTTTGTCCCTCCTATCTGATTTGGCATCGGGCTCAGCCCTTTTCCCCATGGAATGGTCCACGCCCAGGTCTCTAACGATGGAGCTGGTCTCACAGCAGCCCTGTGAGCGCTGGTCCAGCCCAAGGGGGTTCCTACGTGAAGTTTCCCAGGACTCCAGGCTGTTCTCAGAGCTGAGTCCCCCCTAGGTGGGGAGCTCCAGACTGAGCCGAAAGCCTCAGAGAGAACTCAGAACTGAGGAAATCCACAGGTTTTACCCAGCACTGCCGAGTCAGTAATGAGCCAGTTGAGGGAAGTATCAGCAACAGCAAGACACACCTGAGCCGCCGTCTCATTGTTCCGCCGCATTCCTAAACCGTCTGTGTCTGCCTGTCTGTGTCTGTCTCCCTTTCAGGACCAGCCTGGTACCGCTTCATGCCCTACCTCCTTTCTTCTAATCTTGCCTCCCTGGCCTGTTCCATCTACTCCAGATTAACTGAGAAACACTGAAGAGGTTTTAAAACCTACGAAT